CCGATCGATGCCCTCCAAAACATTGTTGGTTGAAGGTCGACAGGCGTCCAACCCCCCCTCGTGTGGCCAATCGATTTCTCCGTGATTCTGATAGCTTGGCCCATTCTGCTGAACTTCATGTCTTTAACCAAGTTCTCCAAAAACATATTGGCTCAACTAAGTTTTTGAACCAAAATTTGGAAATTAGATGGGATCCGACAAGTGAGGTGATTGTTCTTGATATTCCAAAATGCTATAGCATTTATAAATCCCCAATTAAATTGGAAAAATCACTTGACAAATTTGATGGTATTGACAATTATGTTTATATAACCCCTATGTCGAAAGAGAGACTTCTCAGGTCCGAGCCCTGCAAAGTTGTTGTATATAAAGACATTATGAAGGGTGGTCTTCAATTTTCCATTCGTCCCTTCTTTGTCCTAATTTTTAATGAATTTCACCTCTCTCCTAGCCAAATAAATCCTAATGCATGGAGGAAGGAGTTGTACTTCTAATACATCTGTATTAGCAAGGAAATCCCTCTCTCAGTAGACCTCTTTAGGTGTGTCTTTAAGATGCACGAACTAGTTCATTATAATGCCTTTGTCTTCTTTAACTCTAGAGTTCCCTTATGCTTTCCCAAATTTAGGAATTTTAATAGTAGGTGGAAGTCTCAATTCTTCTTTGGTCGACCTTCCGATGGGCAATTTTCATTCAACACTAATTGGAGACATCCTCAAATTTGTCTCTTCAATAGTCACGTCGAACTTATTCCCCTCTGGAGAGTACAAATCCAACGATTGACCGATAACCACCTCTTACACCCCGACTTAGAGTCAATTTTAACTATGAGGAATATGTGGATAGTGGGGATCAGTCGATCTATTGGTATGTTCTCTTTCCTTGCCCTTACTTTTACACTTGTATATATTTTTACTTACTATTTTTCGAGCCTATTGAACTCAATTGTGTGCATGCAGACATAGACTTTGATTTGGATGAGGTGTTGAATGCCCGAGCCGGGGAACGATGCAGGATTTATCCCTACTAATTGTAGGTTCTTGCATATTTTGCTTTTATTTCTCACTTACGCGCACATTCATTTGTTGTTCTTTGAGTTTGATGGATTTTATCTTGCATGTGCAAACATGGGGTTCGACCTAGAGGAGACCATGTATGTCATTCAAGAAAGAAAACTTATCTCTAGTTCCATTGAAGAGAAAGAAAACTATCGATGGGGGACAAGGTCGCACTCTGCCAAGGAGACCTCACGATCTTTAGATGAGCTTGTTGAAGCTATCCCACAGCTCGAGCCTAGAAAGGGAAGCTCAAGTAACATTAGGTCTGAGAGCGAGGGATTTCCTCTTCCGAACTTTAGGTTTTCCCTACTTCAGGCAATCATAAGATGGGGATACTTAGGTCTTTGGTTACTTCCGATCATGCCAAGGAACTCGTCGGATGAAGTGTGATGGTGTAGAGAGGGTTTGGCGGTCTACACCCAGAGGGTAAACCTCTATTATACTTCATCATTTTTGTTTATACCTATTTTTTTCGATCATGCTTAGCAATTGTTTATCATTTTTGTCTATTCACCTATCTGTTGTGGCCTTTGCTTATTGAGTCAAGACGTCGTCAAACATTGGAACTAAAAGGTCTTGCAGAAGAAAATAAGAAAGAAGCTCACTACTACAAGAAGAAGGTTTCTTCTTTGAAGAAGTCTCTCAAAGTTTCAGAGGCCCAAGCTCGTGAGCAAGAGACATAAAATAATAACCTATGGCATGTTTTGCTCAAGTACCAAAGCAGGTAGTAGAATGATATAAGGCCTCAGCAGAGTATTTTAAGGACCTGAAGGCGTTCGTGGAGCAATATAAATCATTCTCAGATTATGCCAAGGCCTTACATTCATATAGGGGAAAGGCGATGATGGCGTCCATCAAATTGGCCCAGAGGGTAGTTGCTGAGCACCCTTCTATCAATCCTTCAGGTTTCGATAGGTTTCTGATGTAACGTAAGGGAAGATATAGTAGAGCTAATCAATCAAAGACATTCAGGCACACATCGTGAAGTGGGAGCGAAAGGACTTCCCACTTAGGTTGATGTAGTCTTTCGTTGCTGATCTTCAACGCTTTCTAGTATTATTCATTTTTGTCATTTGATCCTCTAGTGGTTTTTTAAGGTCCAGGATGTGGATAGAAAATCACATTTTATTTCGAGTATGAATGATTTCTCATTGAACACTATTGTTGTTTAATTTCTCCATCTATCTTGTCATAGAAACCGCTTGTTAATGTGTAAAAGTTAAGTTGACTGGGATGTCCCATTCATTGACTCGATTACTACTGCAGCTATTTGAAAGTCTTTTATACCAAATGTTGCCTAACTAAACCTAACCAAGTATTCATGCAAAGGTTCATCTCTCCCTTATACACCTGCATCAACCTAATGGCTATCTTATTCTTCCTTTTACTACTTAAGAAGTAAGCTACAAAACAACTAGAGGGCTCATCAAATGTCTTAAATCTCTTGATAGAGTAGGGTACCAAAGTTACTAGCTAACGTGGACATAGATGGCCTCATGGTAGACGATCTAGGATGTAAGTGGAGGGTCTTTTAGTGGTAGACGACCCGACATGCAAGTAGATGGTCTTGTAGGGCTAGACAACTTAGTATGAATATAGAGGGCTTTGTAATGGTAGACGGTCTCATAATGGTAGCAACCTCGTATGAATAAAGAGGATCTCATAGTGGTAGATAGACCGTGTAAATGTAAAGGGCCTCGTGGCAGTAAACAGCCTAGCAGAAAATAGAGGGCCTTGTAATGGCAGACATCCTCATAATAGTAGATGGCCTATATGAATGTAGATGGTCTCATAGTGGTTGACAAGTCAACATGAACACAAAGGGTCTCGTAGCAATAGACGGTCTAGCATCTAAGTAGAGGGCATTGTAATGGTAGACGGCCTGGTGTGAATGTACAGGGTCTCATAGTGATCGACAGCTCAGCGTGGTCTAGAGGGCCTCGTAGCACTGGACGGCCTAGCATGCATGTAAAAGTCTTTTAGTTGTAGATGACCTAGCATGGGGCGCCATCGTAGACAATTATTGAGTAAAAGTCTTTTATAGAGTAAAAGTCTAGAGTGTCTATTGAGTAATCTTTACCTTATTGGCCATCGTAGACAATTATTGATGACATCTAATATCACTATCATTAATTCATCATTCAATCCTACATAGAAAAATAGAGATGAGGAAAGGAACTTACAAGATATTATTGAAGCGACGTTGATAGTTTTGTTTCAAAGTTTTTCTTGGCGCTCGTAATATCTATATTGGTAGATGATGAACCTTTAGCAAATAAAATATAAATGGAATTTTTAATAATATCTATATAAAGAGACATTTCATCATTATGTTATAGTGGAAGATTTATGTTATTGTCGTATTTTGTTTCTTCGCGATTTATTTACGTTTTTATATTTACTACCATACAGATATTATCAACTTTGTTAGAGTTAAAATTTATTTAATTAGTTGCACATTGCATTGGTTGCAATCCTTTATTCTGTCGTTAAGACGAAGAGTTGACCCAATAATTCTCTTTCACTGCTCTATCGTTACTAGATCAATTCTTTAGGCTCGCGTCATTTGAAAATATTGCCACAAAGTTACTTTGTCAATTCAAAATAAACAACACATAAGTCATTATAATTGCAAAAGTAATTGCTTTTCTTACCTAACTTCAACATAATGATCTTTAATTAATCATTGAGCCTTTGATTACTTATGCAAAATTAATACCTCAAATCAATCTTGTTTCCCAAGCTTTTGTTAACTCTTTCTTTGTCTTAGAATAATCTTTTCCTAGGAACGGTCAAACCAAGCAAATCGAAGCACGTTTTTCTTGATTTCACTGATTACTTCATGTTAACAATATAATAAAACTAGTTCAATATTTGGATTGATCGTTTAAATAATATTAAACTAAATTTTATTCGTTATAAATTGTGATAAGCTATGTACATGTGTCATTATTTGCTATTCCATTCAGTTCAATACTAAATTTATTGAGAAATTCAAAGTAACTATATTTTTCATAACTTCACGCTAACATATTCTATTAAGATTGAATCACTATTATGTACCAAAATATCGTGAAGTCAACATAAAATACGTTTCAACAATATAAGAAATCAAGCTCGTAATGTATATCATTTTCTTTTTAATCTTATCTATCCCAATAAGACCATATATCTTCAAGAATTATTCAATATGCAAAGAATATTATTTTGTTATTCAACTTGATAAAATGAATTACGCATGCATATCTATCTTGTACTTCAAGGATAATTCATACACTTGTGGGTCAAACATGTGTTTGTTTGTAAAATTAACATCAATTATGTCAAGGGTAGAATAAACTAGGAAATTTTCATCAATTGTCCCAAATGTATGGGACTAGTAACAAATTGATCCGAACTTTAAAAAGAGCAAAATAATTTCAACCTAACAAAATAAATGCTAACCCAGTCCTAAGGATGGAAGATTAAAATATATTCATTTTTTTTTTGTACATATTTTTAAATATTTTGAAAATACAATTTAAATGCGAAAACATAAAAAATAAAGTAAAATAAGAGTCATGACAGGTTTGATGCAAGAACCATGTTCTTCATCCCCATCGGTTCCCCGACGACTTGGAGAATCTCTGCCTCGTTTGGGAATGAGGTAGGACATTTTACCAGTCCTTCATATGGTTTGTGTTTGTCGAACTGGGTTTGCACCTATTTTGAAAGGTCGGGGACTAGGGTCCAATACCCCTATGTTCTTGGGACTATTGGTGCAAGTTTTTCAAAAATAAATAGAAAAGTATAATTGTCATAAATGGCTGCTGGTTTGTCATATGTGATTAGTCAACAATAAATCCTATCTCTACTCAATTCTTCTGCTCCTCGTCTCTATAAATCCAAAACCCTACCTGTCTGTTTGCCTTTGACCATTAGATTATATCGAAACTAAACTCAATGGAAATGGAAGTTATGATCCCTGCGAACGGCATGGATTTTGATTTTAACAGTCCAAATGTTAGTTTACCTTCTACGCCCAAGCGTATTGGGGAATTCTACTGCAGTGCTCCAACAAGTCCGACGCATTTGGCTCAGTTATATCGTGATTTTGATAATTTCTTGTTCAGCGGCGGCGGAGACTCGTCGGAGGTGCCCTTTGTCC